ATTTTATATCTTTTTCATTGGAAAAAGATGCTGCAAAAACAGCCTATTGAATTCTTTTCTAGCCCCATACAAATTCATCCAGAGCAAAGGGGGATCAGGCAAACCTGGTGAAACTTTGCTGCAATCCTACATCATCCTCTTTACCAGTCCTGAAATTTGCCCTGCAGCTGATCTTCTAAAAAAGTGGGGACTTGGTCCTGTTTCTCTGAAATAGTCTTTCCCAGCAATCCCCAGACACGTAAGAGGGTAGTAGGGCCGGGGCAAGTAACAACAGATGTACCGTGCTATGGTTGCAGTTTCTACTATACAGCTAAGCCTGCAGAGGTGCTGTACTGCAAAACGAAAAATTCCTAAGCCACTATGGGCCTGGGATGATTTGGGGAATTCTGGCAGCTCTGACCCTAGCATATCTGATAAGCCCCAGATTGGGAAAACTGCTCTGACTTGTATGTTAAGTGTCTGGCAGTAAATTTGATGGTGGTGATAAATGTTTTCATGCTGTTGTTTTTTCGGTTGCTGTGAGCTGCCTGGGATCACTATGTGGGAAAGGTAGCCTTAAAAATTCTTTAAATCGATCAATCATTTCAGGGCTGTTCTAGAGAAGGGGTTTTCAACCTTTTCAGAGATTGTACCACTTTTAGAACAAGACAATATTCGAGTACCACCAGTGCTTAGTAAGGTGTCAAAAACTTGATGACTAAAAACAGGGGGGGGGGGCTTTACTGGTTAGATTTGTTTGTTGTTATAGAAATGGCTAGTTTATAATATTATGGAAGAGTAAAAAGTTGAGGTTCAATGTTAATGCTTCCTTCTACTGCAACAGAGGAAGTCAGAAGTCAATGCCTTTTCTTTTTCCCTTCTCACCCTCACTTTTCCCTTTTTCTCTCACCCTTCGCTTGCAAAAGCCCCTCGCTTGCTCTTTCACTCATTTACACTTAGCTTGCAAAAGACCCCTGCTCGGTTTCTCGCTCTTTCACTCACTCACATTTGCTCACAAAAGAACCCTGCTCACTGTCTCCTCACCGCTTCACTAACAAAAGCCTCTTCTCTTCTTTCTCTGTGTTTTTTCTCCCTCTCCCACCAAAACTTGCTCCTTTTATAGCTTCTCCTCTCTCCACCCTCCTCCTCCTCTTCCTCTTTTCTCTTCCGGGTGCACCAGAAGCTCTAATCAGCGCACGCAGATCCTGGGGCTTCTGCTGAGCCTTGCAACTCCAGCTGATCTCCTCCAGGCATGCGCAGCACTGCTTTAGCTCGTTCCCTCCTCTGCTACATTTGGCTAGGGGGTCATACCACCTGCCAGGTGCTAAAGTACCACTGGTGGTATGCGTACCACCAGTTGAAAATCCCTGTTCTAGAGCCCCAATGATTTCCTTATTGGAATATTCAAAGATGTTGCTATGATCTATGGATTCTAGAAAAGTATAACATTGATTGATCACATTAAATGACACTAAGAGATGAAGGTTCCGAAGTTGAAAATTACATTTCAGTCTTGAATTGAACTGTGTGCATGAAATGAATTTGGTGTTTTGTAAATTACTAAATCATCATGTCAACTGAATCTTCTTGTTGGGGCACATCCACCAAAATGTTAATCGTAAGAACCAAGTAGCTCCTTGCTCATTGATAGATACTTGCTTCTGTATATTTTTTTGACAGTCATCCTATATGCACTTCTCTGGGAGCAAGTTCTGTTTGGGGACTTTTTTCCTGAATCAACTTGTATAGAGATGCATTTTGAGTGGACTTTGCCAATTACAAACTGTAATAATCATATTTAGATTTTGATCTGGTTCACCGTTCTCTGCAACAATTCATGTCTCAATTTCTAAGAGATCACTAGCAAACAAGAATCAAGACCAGCTCACTAAGTTGGTGTCAAGAAAAGAGCCTCATAGAAATTGTGCCTGAAGGGCAACAATGTTGCATAGCATGTTCTCTAAATAGCTGATCACCATGTCTCATTTGATTAATATCAGCTTGATTTTCTCCCACCTATTATAGAGTAACAGTGTTACAGAAAATAAACTTCTTCCCATTGAACCTGGCATGCAAAATCATACTATGTTTGAGTTTCTCCATTCCTATCTGCAAACCTCTTGGGATGGAAAAAGATTGCTGCAATCACTTCTTTGATTTTAGAAACCTCTATGGAATTTGCAAAGTCACAGATCATTTATCAATTGGTGGAAAGCTAAAACAAAAAGATGAGTGGTTAATGAAGAATTAATATTTAGTGATCTTAATAGATATTCTGATTATGGTATTTTCACACACCATAATAACATAATATCAGTGTTATAAGGGATCTTGGAGGTTTTCTAGTCCAACTCCCTGCTCAGGCAGGAAGCCCTATGCTAGGGGGTGTCAAACTGGCAGACCATGGGCTGGGTGCGTCATGTGCACACCACATCCACCCCGGCTCCGCAAAGGCAAAAAACATTGCAATACATCATGATGCGTCACATTATGCAATTGAGTTTGACACCAGTGCTCTATACCATTTCAGATAAATGATGGTCCAATCTCTTCTTAAAAACCTCCAGTGTTGGAGCACCCACAACTTCTGGAGGCAAGTTCCACTGATTAATTTTTCTAACAGTCAGGAAATTTCTCCTTAGTTCTAGGAAAAATTCTCCTTGATTAGTTTCCATCCATTGCTTCTTGTCCTGCTTTAGGTATTTTGGAAAATAGCCTGACTCCCTCTTCTTTGGGGCAACCCCTGAGATATTGGAACACTGCTGTTATGTCAACCCTAGTCCTTCTTTTTCATTAATTAATATATAAGAATTAATAAAATGGTGACATAAAAACATTAATACATGAAAATGGCATAATTGCACTATGCAAAGAATAGTTTCTCTTGGTACTTCCACTGCAAAAAGGTATTATAAAACTAAGGTTTTATTTTTATTCCCAGCATGATCACCATGGATTTTGGTTAAGCAGGGATATGGAATATTTGAGATCCAGTTATGTTTGCAGAAAAAAATGTTAATGTTGAAAAGATAGGGCCATACGATCAGGCAATTTTTTGTTTATTATTTTGTTCTGTTTATACTGTACTTATCTCCACAGAGCCATGTACTCAAAATGAATGGCTATATAAATTTAATAAATAAATAAAAATGAGGCAGTGCTTTAAGGAAGCAATTGCCAAGTGACAAAAAATAACATTTTAAAACTGAATTTCTTTTTGTTACTATTGGATTTTTATTGCCATGGGAAATGCTAGGTACCCAACAAGTTTTCTGCCCCCATTTCAAAAATCACCTGACTTTAAGATCTCTATATCATAATAGTAATAGTGGCAAAACATTGCATAGGTTGGCCCAATGAATGGGAAAAGGGATCATATTCTGCCCTCTGCACTATCTACAGGCAACTGAAGGTCTTCTCTTTTAAATGACTTTATCCAGTCTCCCCTACTGCCATCAAGGCACTTGGTGGACTCTCTGACTCCATTTCTCTTCTTACTTTGAATCATTCTTCAGAACCTAACTTCACCTTCTGGTCCTTGGTTTATCCTCTTATTCTTCAATGTGTAAACCTTCTTTATTTTCTCTCCATGGCAAATATTTTCATTTGTTACTTGAAGTGGTTCCTGCTACTTTTCTCCATTTACTCTAGAAACCCATGATTTTAACCTCATTTTTTTTAAAGACCAAGAGCTCCTTCTGTACACAATCTCACATTTCTGTGTTGCAATTGTTTAACATCAAATTTCTGCCATTTTGTGGTGGGCGATACATGAAAAATGCTACATAGAGCTTAAAATAGCTTAACAAGAAAATGGCAGTTCCTGTTATATAATGAGGAATCTGGAAAACTTAGAAAATTTCAAGCTGGGTCCATCTCCTTTGAATCAATGTTATCTTGGGGGTGGGGGTGGGTTGATGATATGATGAAGTTGGTACAATTTTTACTTTGTACTCTACTGGTATTGCTTTACAAAATAATCTTTTTCTTACATTCAAAGTTCCTAATGCAGGGAAAGCTAATAGTTTTTTGGAAATATATATTTTTAAAAGATTTAAATGCAGTTAAAAAGACTGGAACTAGTGAAACCTTATTTATACAGTGAGCAAGGGAAAACCTGTAGGACAGGGTGGGAACAAATGGCCAAGGGAAAAAAATAGACCAGATTTTTTATTAAAAATTCCACCATTTGCTGGTCCAAAGCTGGATGAGAAAGGAAGAGGGTAGGCATCAGATTCTGTGTCAAGTCAGCCAAGTTGCATCATTTTGTATCAAACCCAACACAACATTTGAGATGCAAACATATGAGGTGTGGCAGACCAGACAAAGTGGTGGGTGATATGCTAAACTGCGGACTCTGCCATCTGATGGGAATAAAGCAAAGAACAACAAGAAGAGAATGTTTATTAAAGAATCAAAGCATACATATTATAAACAGGAAAAAGTGAGCAAATACATTGTGAAGTTGTGAGTAATTTGCTTTTTAAGAACCCTGGAACTGTTACATGTATATTATAAATAGGAAAAAATGAGCAAACATCTTGTGAAATTGTGAGTAATTTGCTTTTTTAAGAACCCTGGAACTGTGACAAATTGTCAACAATTGGCTTTCTAATCGATATTTTGTATTTTAAGATTTTATTGATTTGTTACACTGTATGTCAGTTTCCCCCATATTATAACTTATGGCTTTAAAAATGAATTGATATTGCCTTGCCTACAATTGGAGACAAGGAGAAGCAATTAAAAAAGAGCTCAAGACAAAAGGCTTGCATTTAAAGAGGCATTAAATCCTGCTGATAGTTCGGTATATTTAAAAAAACAAAAAATAAAAACAAGGTGCAGTAGTTGCAACTGCATGCATTTCTTGGGTCAGATGATCAATTCATGGATTAACATTAAAGGTGATATCAGATCAGTAGAGTCTGCCTACTAGCTCTACTTCTGTCTGTTCTTCTGCCCAGTCTGTTCCCTCATTTTGCTTCTCTCCCCCTCCCTCATGTACTCTATTCACAACTTACTTGTCACTCATCCCATGTGAATCTTCACTTGTCACTTGCTTGTATAAATGTTCACACAGCTACTTGAATACTCTGCTCCTTCCTCCCACTTGCTTGGCCACACTTTTGATAATCCAACCTCATAAAGGCATAACTGTGTCTCATCATAAATTTCACCCAGATTTCTGAAAAGGAGGGAGAACTTGAAATGGAATCACAAAATGTAGGTTTCTTCAGGACACATGTATATTAATTTCTAAGACCCAAACAAAGAAGGAAAAATTAAGTGTGAAAATTCCTTAAAGGACAACATAAGGCTTCTTGTCACTGGAGAAGGGCCTAATGCTGGGAAAGATTGAGGGCAATAGAAGAAGGGGACGACAGAGAATGAGATGGCTGGATGGAGTCACTGAAGCAGTAGGCGTGAGCTTAAATGGACTCCAGAAGATGGTAGAGGACAGGAAGACCTGGAGGAACATTGTCCATGGGGTCGCGATGGGTCGGACACGACTTCGCAATTAACAACAACAACAAAGGCTTCTTGTGTATCTTGTTAATTAGAATAGGGAGTATGGGCAGTATAGGTAGAATACTATACAGAAGTAGAAATTTTCATTTAATCTCTATTACTATAAACCTGTTTTTGGGGGGAAGGGTTCCTTTGAGTCAGTGTCGATTCCTGGAGACTGTCTGATTTATCCCTGAGGTTTCCTTGGCAAGATTTTTCAGAAGTAGTTTGCCATTGCCTCTTTCCTAGGGCTGAGAAAGAGTGACTGGCCCAAAGTCATTCAGCTGGCCTTGTGCCTAAGCAAGGACCAGAATGTATAGTCTTCTGATTTCTAGTCTTATGCCTAAACTGATACACCAAGCTGTCTCTCTATCAATGTCATACATTATGTAGATTAAATAGTGTGGAATAGAAATCATAACTATTCACTTCAATTTTTATTTGAAACCACTGTATCTTTCTAGATAGCACTCTACTTTTTTGTAACTATTTCCTACTGATATCATTCTCATCATTTCTTCAGGGACTCCATATTTTCTCAAAACTGATCTCCCTCTTTTAGGTGATACGATCCTATTTGAAAATTAATAATATTCAAATAGCAATTGTTTTCCTCACATAAGATCTTTATTACATGTCTCTTCTATATATTTATACAATTATACAAAAGAGTTATTGTTTACAAGAATCAGAGGGTGGTAATCTTAACATTGTGTCCATACCATTTTTATAGGATCAAGGAATTATATAGTGGTTTAGCCATACATTGATGCTGATTAGTAATATCCTATGATGACCTCTAAGAGCAGAGCACATCTTTAAGAAGTATGCAGGGTATAAAAAAAGCTACTATTTATTAAACTGGATATGGGCCAATGATAGGGAAGCTATCCTAATAAAATCTCAGTTCGTCTTTATCCTTCCTGATAGGATTAAAATAAACATCCTTGGCCAAAAGGGAGAGTACTACAACTATGTAGTTCCCTTTTTTACTTAGTGGCTTTAAGTGTGCTACAGGGAGCTATATATTTTTAGCAGTTCCAAGATCCAAAACCTCTGTCTTTTATAGGCTTTATTAATTCTTCGTTTTAAACATCACATCATTCAGTGCATACAATTAGTTAAAGATATATATTTACCCATATGAATAGAAAACTAATTTATGTCACTATCAAAGCATAGTGCATGTCTTTTATTTTATTATAGTTGTATCTATAATAGCAACAAAATAGTAAGGAAATGTACTCCCTTGTGAACAGGAAAATATGCAAATAGATGATTAAAGATATTAAGAGACTACATGAAACAAGATTGAGGATGAGGTCATTGTGTTCTGAGACATGAAAAATGTTCAGAAATTATGAGAATAAAAACACAGAAGTTTAGCATCTGCCAGGACTTAATTCAATATGCATATTATATTTTATTTTGAATGACAGATGCAGTCAGATTTAAGGAAAAAAAATAACAGTGTTTTGGATATCTTCACACATTGAAGTTTATGCTATTACTCATTCATATTATGGATTTTGGGCTCTGAGAGAAAAACAGAAATTATCTAATAAACGGGTGGAAGCAATTTACATTTCCTTTAGCTGTATTATCATTTATTATTAGTATTATTATTGTCCCATTATTCATCTTCAGATGTAACAGGATGGCATATAAGAAACCAGATATAACTGTAGCATCATAAAGAAAAATAAAAGAAACACACACACACTGCAATACAGGCAAAGTATAAACTAACTTTAAAATCTTAAGATCTCTGAGAGAATAAGCTTTAGCCCAGAATCAGAATGATAGTGATATTGGTCTTAGATTTTTAGAGGACTTTCTAAAGTTAAGACATCACCATTGAATATTGTCCTCACAAGGTAGGTGGAACCAGAGAAAAGCTTCCCCTGAGGTGTTTGAGATCAGAAGAAGTTAATACATTTGCATAATAGGGACACGTGTAATGATCCACTATAGAATCTCTCGTGTGGACATAAATAGCAGTTGAGATTCAAGCCAAGAAAGAGGCTAATACATTTTTCATGTGATGGGTGCCCTTGTGTCAACGACTTTTCTTTTAAAATGCTCCAGTTTTCATAACTGAGCCGAGGTGGCACAGCAGTTAGAGTTCAGTACTGCAGGCCACTTTAACTGACTGTGTTCAGCAGGTCAGTGATTCAGATCTCACCGGCTCAAAGTTGACCTCCTTCCGAGGTAGGTAAAATGAGGACCCAGATTGTTGGGGGCAATGTAAATATATATATACATTGCTTACTGGTGTACACTGCTTAGAGCAGTGGTTCTCAACCTTTCTAATGCCGCGACCCCATAATACAGTTCCCCATGTTGTGGTGACCCCCAACCACTTATACACCAAATGGGGTCCCGACCCACAGGTTGAGAACCACTGGCTTAGAGAGTGCTTGCACTTAAAGTGGTATATAAGTCTCATAAATAAATAAATAAATAAATAAATAACACCAAATCTCATGGTCTTTTGAAAATTTATTCAGATACACTGACTTATGAAATTGGGAAGTGGCATGAGATTCCTTAAACATTATTTGAGGTCATTTTATATTTCCTGCAGTACCTTTTCTGTAGGAAAAACAGCCACTGAGACTTTATTGTTCATATAGTTTTTGAGTTCAGCCTCAAATTCCATAGAAAATAAAGAGAGGCATACTGTCCCAATACTGCAGGAGAAATGTAATACCAGTTGCCAGACATCTATAACGGATATAGACTTTGGTACTAACAGTGCCCAAGTTTGACCACAGCAACACTTCTTAGTATTTCTCCAGAACTACAGAAGCACAATGAACTTTACAGAAGTCAATGGAGGTTACATGAGTGTGAATGAAAGAGGAATTACTTAGCCTTTATCTTGTCCAGCACATATAGATGAATGACAGAAAGTGAACCACAGCTACCATTACAGCTGACATTAATTTTCCCCTGCCAGTCTGATCATCTAGTAATTGAAATGCAGTGTGTTCTTTTGTACTTATCTAAGAGGAATCCCATTAATGGAGAAAATAGCAATTTACTTGGGTTATGATCCATTCAGGTAGTTAAGTATCTTCATTTACACTGATCTCAAAAGAGTCAGAGGTGAGCTTAACTGGATTTGGATTTTCTTAAGGTTTAGTTGTGGAAGTGAACTTCAGAGTCTATTACTAAAGTCTACAGCTCTTGGAGGAAAGACAGGATATAATCTAAGTCTTAACAAAGGAAGCAGTGACTTTAAACATCTGAAGAGTGCCTTTTCTTCTTTGCTGTATACTGGCAATCCCGTCTAAATAAGAGACAAGAGCTTGGATCCAAAGTGTCCTTATTTGGCCATGTGTGGAAAACATTTCTACTTGCACACAATGAGAAAAGGGTGATTCTCCTGACTATTATTTCAAATGAGGGCTGCTATGGGGCACAGTAACTAAGTTAGTCTCAATGTGATACCATCTATATTGATGAAAAGGGAGTCATAAATAATACAAAAATGTTGAAAAATGGTAAGCCTGCAGGTGTAGCTGGTATAATTGAAGAAACTTTTAAAATGTGGATGTGATTTACCACGGAAGCAGCTGTGTAGCTTGTTTACAAGTGTTAGAATGTTAATATATATGCAGGTTTGTATTCAGATGATGTCATGTTTTTGGCTGAAACCTTGGGGATTTGAAAATTAATGCATCGAAACCAAAGTACTGGTGCTTGACAGGAAAAATGGAACAAACTATTGTAAGTTATACACAAATGGTGAAAAACAAGAGCAAGAAGATGAATTTACATGGGTAGAATGCTTATTAGAGATGAGAAATGGATGGAGATCTTTTTAAGATCTGCAAATGTTGGTAGACAGATAAGGAATATGTGATTTGTCAAAAGAAATGAAAATGTGTTAAAAGCTATGAAAAACACTTTTCATAAGATCCTGTTTTTGCCTATTTTTTTTTAAAGATGTGACAATTCAGTATATTAAGACAACATATAACTTAGCTAAATGCAGTGGGAATGGGATAGATAAAAAGGATGTGTGGTCAAAGAAAAAGGCAGAGGATCAAGAATGAACAGATACTGAAATCCTATGATTTGATTACAAAAGTGAATGATCAGTGGTGGGACAGCAGTTTCAGAGAGCTTCAGTGGAAACAGATCATCTAGACTTGACTGTGCTTTGGAAGACCTTTGAGTGTTCCTTGATCTTTCAGTAGCCTTTAACATCATTCAGATATGATACCATGTTGGGAATGGGGGGGGGCATTCTTTTGTGATAGTCCCCATCCTTCCTAAAAGGAAAAGTTCTGGTTGGTGAGTAGTAGCAGAAGACTCTCGTGACCTCCGAGCCAGGTTCCTAGATGTAGGCAGATCATATCCAATTGGGCACAAGGCCTGCAAATTCTGCAATAACAAACCCTTTCTCCACCAATACTGTCACCTCCCAGTACCCCCTTGGCCAACACGGGTGCCAGGAAGCAAGGAAGATGTACATAAACATGGCCCGAGAGTCCTACACTTCTGCATCTGGTTTTGTTCTTTACATTTTCTTGCTCCTAACTTGTACTATGATTTCAATCTTCTCACCAGGTTTCTGGTTCTTCTCTTCCCCTTTTCAAGACATTGTGTGTTTTCTGGTTATAAACTGATTGACCCAGCTTATACCATTTCTTTGGCCTCCAGTAA